TCGTCAAGGAAGACGACCTCCTCGCTAAAGCTGACATTCTGGCGAATCTCGAGAAAATGTCGAAGGCTCTTTCATTGAGCTCAAGACATGGTTCGACACCAGATGCTGCAACATGCAGGATATAGCCAAAGCGTCGAACATCATGACTTCGCGGCATGTATGCACATGGAAGTTCGTGAAGAACGAAAAGGGTGAGATGAGACGTGCCGCCCGACTTCGTTTGGTACTTCGAGGATTCATGGACCTTGAAGCTTTCCGCGTAGAAACATTTTCGGGAACGGCCAGAAGGTCGAGCCAGAGGCTACTTGCTAGCACGGCAGCGTGCAATAAGCAGTGGATCATTGCTTCCCTTAACATCAACATGGCCTTCCTGAAGGGATTGACCTGCCAGGAACTCTTTGAGGCAACTGGCGAAAAGGAGCGCGCGGCGTGCATCGCCTTGCCGCATGGATCGGCAACTGCGCTCCGTACTCTTCCAAGATTTGAGTACTACGACGAGCCAAAACATTGCCTACAGTGCTTGAAACCGGGCGCAGGCACTAAGGACGCCCCACGGGCTTTCTCACTTAAGCTCAGGAGAACCACCAGAGGATCTGGCCTCCGACCACGACGAGGAGTTCGAGACGAGCAACACTTCGCTCACAGCCAAGCATGTTGATGATATTAATATGGCCATTACTGAGGACACGATTGCCAAGTCTGTCAAATGCGTTGAGGATGCTTTCGGTGAGTGCAATCTCAGCAAGCACACATGCACTAATTGTGCTGTGAGATACACGAAGGACGAGGACGGCAATGTTACCTTGGATCAAGATGAATATATCAAACAGCTCCGTCCTATACAACATTTTGAACTGACCGGCGCTGCCGCTGACGCTCAAGCAACCAAGATGGTGGCAGACATGTTCGCCAGACTCAGAGGTGCGCTGGCGTGCGCACTGATCACCCACGCATGGTTGATGGTATATGTTGCATCTCCACAGCGCGCCCAAGAACCGACCAATATTCAAGTGCGACGACTGAGCGCGATCACCAGGAAGTTACAGGCCTGCCCGAAGAAGATCGTCTACCAGGCGATGGACCCCACGGGTGAGGTCGACTTGCGTAGCGACTCAGGCTATCGACGCCTGAGTGGAGACGCCGATGACGACGTCAAAGGCTATGGTATTCGCGGGGCAAACCTGCTACGAAGTGGAAACACGTCATCTGGCAAGCCTGTCGTTCACTTGATTGATGCGCACTGCAAGTCTCGCCGCTTGCAAGTTCGTTAAAGCTACTCAGCAGAGACACTTGCAGCAGCCCATACTTTGGAGGACTGCTATCCCACGATTGTGACTCTGCACGAGCTCCACGCGGGGCCGCTCACGCCCACTCAGATGAAATATCTACTTGAGTTGGGTGGCCTGAGCATCAAGGTCACCCTGACCATCGATGCTGAGTCTGTTTTTGAGTCCTCGCCAAGCAAAGACTTGAAGAAGCCGACTGAGTGTACCCTTTTAGGACACATCAGTTGGATACGACAGATGATGGAGCGTGGAATCAGTGGTGCGATACCCGCGACATGACTGCGGATGGACACACCAAGGGGGGCATCGGCAGAGATATGCTCCTACAAATCATGGGAGGTATACAGACCTTCAAACATGACCTGAAAAGACATACTCCATATCGGGCGGGCCAGACAAGAAGCTCTGAGGCCGCCTGCTGAGTACGTTATACATGTGAGGCAACTTGCTGGCGGGTCCACTTCCTTTGGGCCCGTTTCCTGTCCTGTCTTTGTATAGGTTAGCTGCTGAACTGTCCCTGCTATACGGGTGGCGAACGCGCGCTTCGTCTCCCTTCCCCATCCGACTCTAAAGCGATTTTGGGGGACTTAAGGAGTGGAAGCGAGCGCGCGCCCGCGGCCGCCTTGGCTCAAAGCGGCCGGCCGTCCAGATTTGACTGTGCCTCACCGCGAGGCACACAATTGCTATCGAGACTAAAAGGTATCCCTTCTTACTTGAGATGTCGTCTCCTCCTGCAGTGGGACTATCGCTATTACAATACAACAGAGCGGGAGCTTGGCTTCGCCTGAGGCGAAGCTGTTGGCTGGGCCTTCCAGCCCCTTTCAAACTCAGCAACCACATGTGGTCTTGCTCGACCTCTGGTTCTGGCATGTTCTCGGGGGTCTTGTCGTTCACGGACTTCGCGGTGTCGTTGTAGTCGAACTCCAGCGGTCCCAATTTCCGGCGGATTCATGTGCCAATTCGGCATAGCTCGGGTGGGTGAAAGAGGGCCATCATCGCCGATGCCCATTTTGCCACCACGTGTCCAAAGCAAACGGCATCCATCTCGGCGGCACATCTCCGCCACTTCCTTCAGACGTGAGCCTGTCGAAGCAATCGGGGCCAGGACCTTGGCTTGACCGTCGGACATGGCTATGGAAAACGCAGAGGATGTGTGAAAGGCGGAGAACAGCAATCGGGCTACGTATGCGAATCGCATGTATTCGTATAGGCCGAACATTCGACATCAGTTAGGGCCGTGCCATATTGCGAGTAAGGAGCCCACCGTTCGTGATGTCCGGTCGTAATTCGCAGACGTGGGCGCGTGTACATCCATCACATACAAGACACAAGGGATGACCTTGTTCGGTGTATTTTATGTACGTAATCGTTTTGCTCATTCCCCCTGCCCGTATTGTGCCATCGGTGGCGCTTGCCAACTCGCTCGTGGCCCATGCGGCCGCTCGGCCATTCCAGAAAAGCTTGGGGCCCATGGGCACCAGAGACAGCAGTGAAGGTCAGTTTTTCTGTTGGTCCTATTGTTTCTCCTCCTCCTCCTGCTCCTCCTCCTCCTCCTCCTCCCCCTCGGCTTTCTCTTCCCCGCTCTTCCTCGTCATCGTCCTCGATTCACTATCCGATTCCAGCTTGAAGCTTTGCGATCGATCTCCCGATCTTTGGAATATGTTGATGATTCCAGTGTGTATTCGTGTGCAGGTATCCAGCAGTCTGATGCGTTCGGAGCGTGTTGCCCTGACGATGACGTGGACGAGAGACCGAAGCGCGCTGCCCTGACGATGACATGGGCGAGAGGGTTCTTTCGATGACGTGGACGAGAGATCGAAGCGCGCTGCCCCGACGATGACATGGACGAGAGACTCCTTTGGAAGGCCTATCTCATGGCCTTGGGCCCATTTCGCCACCGACCCGTGGCGGTCGGCCAGAACAGAAAGGTTCGTGGTCCTTGAGTTTTTGAGTCTCTTCGGGGAGCAGTCTTGAAGCCTCTAGGGAGTCTCTTGGGGGCCTCTTGAGGGCTCCCTGGGGGCGTCCCGAGGGCTTCTTGGGGGCCTTCTGGGGCCTCTTGGGGGTCTCTTGGGACCTCCTGGGGGCCTCTGAAGGCCGAAGGCTTGAAATGTCGTTTCGTTTTCCCCTGGAGCCTCTCTTGGGGCGTTTTTGGGACCCTCTAAGGCCGTCTTGTAGGCCTCCTCGGGCTGTCTTGAAGCCGTTTTGGAGCCCGCGTGGGAGCCTTTTGGGACCGTCTTGGGGCGATTTTGGAGGCCTCGTAGGCTTCTTGGAGCGTCCGGAAGCCGCAAAGGCGAGAACCCCCAAATCCTTCTTGAGAAACCGAAGGGGAATCCATGAATGTTGCCTTTGGAGCTCCTCTGGGGAATGTTCTTGGAGCGCTCTTGGGCCGTCTGGGGGCCATATTGGGCGTCTTGGAGAGATCTGGTGGTGTCCTGGGCGTCTCTTGGAGCATCTTGGGGGCCCCTTTGGGGCCTCTTGGCTCTTTTGGGGGGAGTTCTGGGGGGCCCGAGGGCGGCGCCCAGGGGCAAAACCATCTCTGATGGGACCTTGAGGGACCTTGCCGGCCCCGCGCGCGCGAACCAGAACATTCTGAACCAGCCACCGGAGATCTTAGAACGCCTATGGCCCGTTGGGCGGGCGAATCATCTATTTGTGCATGCAGTTGAGTTGCGGTTCAACCTGATCATCTATGTTGCTACGTAAGTCATGCAAGTGTGCTTGGTATTGTTTGAAGTATGGTTGGAGTGCTACGTTGAGCCGTCATCCACCAAAATGTACCAGCAGGGGGGACCGCCCAGGGTGGGGGTTCACGACCTCTGGCCCCCCCCCCCCCCGGGACCCTTCTGGGACCCACCACGGGACCCCCCTAGCTGGGACCACCCCCCAGGCCCCCCCTCTGGGCTCCCCCCGGCGGGGAAGGGACAAAGGGAATGGGCTTCTTTCCGGCGTCACCACGATAATGGTCGATCTTCCGTCTTTGTTCGAAGTCCCTAACCTACGACGACGACGACTATTCCAAGGGTGGTGGTGTATTTCAGTTTGGGTTGAGCTGGCCTCGCGTCGAAGGGCCTCGCAGACACGAGGACTGGGCTGGCGGATTTCCGTGCACACGCATTTTACGATTTGTCGCCATGCGTCCGGTACCGAAGCAAGGACAGTTTGTCGTGGCGAGTGTCTTTGGGGGATCTTGGATTTTGGCATTCGTCTTGCTTTTCTGTCTGCGCTTTCTCTCCTGCCTCGTCTCCCGTTATTTCCGGGCTCGCACGGCGACGAAAGCAGGGGTTGCACCGAGGGGTAGTCTGTGTTATCTCTCCGTTTTTTTTGTCAGTGTTTTGGTGGGATGTTTGGCTTCTGCCTCTTGTTGGGCGGGATTCGGGATGGGGTGTGCGTGCGTGTGCCATCTCTCTCCATTTCCTTTCCTCGCCCATCTCCATCCCGGCTCGTCCTCTCGCCTATCTCTCCCTCTCCTTTCCTCGCCTACCTCCATCGCCTTCCCTCGCCTATCTCCTCCCCCGGCCCATCTCCATCTCGACTGGGCGGGGAACCTCTTCCCCCGAAGGCAGAGCCCACCGCCATCGTCTCTATTCTGCTGGCCATGTGGTAGGGTTGGCCTCACAGGGCCCGCCCCGCAGGGCCCACCCCCCTCGCGCACAGGATCCGAAGGCCTGGGCCCCTCAGGGCACTGCACGCCCCCACCCCCCACCCCCCTGGCAGGCGGCGTCCGCCGACGCCCAAGCGCAGCTGCTCTGGCCGGGCGCCCGCGGAGCAGGCGCGGCCGCGGCGGCGGCCACCGAGCCAGAGGCGCCCCGGGAACAACCTCTCGGGGCTCAAGAGACGGGTTTCCACGCAAACGGGGGGGGTCGGCGGGAGCGCTGGATTTTGCAGGATCTTGCAGAGCCAGGGGGTCATTGGCCCGGACTTGGGTGCAGGATCCTGCAAGGCCCGGCTGACCCAGGTTTGGAGTGACCCGGGTCAGTACGTCCCCGAATCTCGGTGCGATCGATCGGTCCGAGTTCCATTCAGGTTGGCCGACCCGATGCGGTTCCGATGTTGCAATGTCCCAGTGCAGCCGCGTGATTCAAGCCCACTCCCGTAGTAGTAGGATAGTAGAGGCGCCCGAGGGATTCCCCTGAATGCCCGTCGGGCCCCGCCGAGGCTTGGATCCCCACTCTGTTCCTGCCCCGGCCTTTGCTACTCTCACCCTTTTCCTTGCCGCCGCTCTGGGCCAAAACTTTGACGGCCCTTGACCTTCGAGCAACGCCTCGCCTCGCCGCGTGAGAGAGTACAAGCATTCCGGCGCCGCGCTCCGATCCTAGGTTGGACCGAGGCTTGCTGCCTGCCTTCGGGCATTTCCATATCCACGACGACGTCTGCGACGTGTCTACCGGAATCGACGGCCATCGCCGTCCGACTGCTTCGTTGCGCAGTGCACTTCCCCATCGGCGTCAGCGACGCCAACTTCCAGCCCAAATCCCTGTTCGAGAGCGCCTTCGACGCCAATTTCTCCGCTAGCATCAGCGACGCCAGCAGCGCCCTCCTTTTCGACGAGCTCGCGTACACTTACCAGTAAAACTGCTCTTCCAACGTCCGCGAAGTTGGTACCTAACTCAGCAAGTTCTGGTACAGTGTCAGCGACAAGTCCTACGAGAGCGCCAGCGACGCCCACTGCAGCCCGTGAGCGCCAGCGAGGGCAATTTCCTGCTCCCATGCGCTTTCCAGTGCAAGTACACCGCCAGCGTCAGCGACTTCCGTACCTATCTCAACAAGTTCAGCGACAGTGCCAGCGACCAGTCTTACGCGCCCGTCGGCGACGCCAACTTTGTACCCGACAGCGATTATTTCATCCCGCATTGCAATGCAAAGATGACGGGAATATGTTTACCACGACCAGCCGTTTACCCCCGACCTGGAATGGAGATCCCAAAAAGTGGAAATATCCAAAGTAAGAGGTCAGCAACACTTAGAAGGCAGACGAAGTCTTCGGTCGAAGATTGTTCTCCAACTCACTGGGCGCGACGCGTTCGGCCGCGTTAAATTTGCCGGGGGAAGGCGCGCTCCAGCCAGGGGGTAGCGACGCCGAGGATACGAAAGACAAGACGAATGAGAAACCAGAGGGGCATCGATAGCGTGCCCCAGCATTTGGGGGCGCGCGTAGGCCAGCAGAGGCCCGCGCAGAAGGCGAGGGCGCTCGCGGAGTTTTCGAGTTTACGCGGCGTCGCCGTCGGAGGGGACAACGCAAGATAGTTCGGCTCGTGAATTTCGAGGCCAGACAACGACGGCGCCGCGAGGACGAGGTGGGCTTGGCCACTTCGGGCGACGCGGCAAGTCGGTTTCCGCCGCGCAAGGCCGGGCTCGCAGCCGAGCGCCGCGAGCGCGTCGTGGACAACCTGCCGTGCGAGCGCTATTCAATTCAGCGCATTCGCGGTCTACTTGCGCGCCTGTTCCCGGGCGTCCACGCGCCCGACCGCGGCGGCGGCGTGTCTCTGCGGCCGCGGCCGCAACGCTCCACGAACAGTTGGTAGCGATCGTCATCAAGCCGCACGCGCTCCACAAATATTGTCGACACCCGAGGAGGGCGATGGCGTTCACGGGGGCCCGCGACGACGGCGGCGCCGAGACCGACGCCCGGGTCGTCGCCCGCCCGGAGCTCGAGGCGTCTACCGCCGAGCTGGCGTCGTCTAACATCGACCTCGGCGCGGCGCCCCGCCGGCGGGGGCCTCCGAAGCCGCGCGGGCCAGCGCGAGAAGACGTCGCGGCGCCGGGGCTGCGGCGAGAAGGGGCGACGGGCGGGCGACGGGGGGCGTCCGGCATCTGGGGCCCGCAAGTGCGCCCCCCAGGGAACAGCAGAAGGGCGGGGGGCGCGGCGGTCGAGGGGGCCGCTCCAATCGCTGGGCCAACGTCGCCGAGCAGGCCGCCAAGCAGAGCCGCGCTGGGTTCGGCGACGAGGAGATCATCCTGCCGTTCGAGGGGTTTGTTGCTCCGCCGCCAGAGTCGCTGGCGCCCGAGCGCGCGGCCCCCGACCTGCCTGCCGTTAATTCCACCGGCGCTGGCGAGAACCCAGCGACGACGGGGTCGGCGTGGTCGACGCCGCCTGCCAGTTCTGCGCTGGCGGACCCGGGCGGCGCAAATTTGCTAGGCCAGGCTTGCCGAGATGGGCCTCGCAGGCGATCTTGGATGGGGCGGGCGCGCGAGGTATGCAGGTTCGGAAACGGCGGTGCGCCCCCGAGCAAGTTGCGCGTTGCCGCTCAGCTCGCGCTTTGCGGCCGCGCGGGCCGGGCCGCGGTCGGCGTCGCAGACGGCCCCGCTCGCGGCCTGCTGATCAGCCAGGACCATATCTGGCCGTCCCAGATCGACATCTCGCTCTGGGATCGATCTGCGTCGGGAGCAATTCCCAGAAGCTCGCGATTAGCACGGCGATCCATCCCGCCATCGACCTCCACTCGGAGGGGCGGCTCGCCATTGAGTGGGATGGCCGCGCGTTCGGCCCATAGACCACCGAATTAAGGCGGTCGCACTGCCTGCCGTGAAAAGCACGACCATGGCGGATTTCCTGGTCGAGTCCATCGCGACGCCTATCCCCGGGAAGACGTTGAACGTGCCCGATCGCCCTGAGCAACGTCGAGTCGCCGGGTCGGGGCCCACGACTGCTGCGGCGTCTGCTCTTGCCTGCTGCTCTGCGGCGGCCGCTGCGCCCGCCGTTGCGCTGGAGCAGCCTCCGCCGGCGACCGCCTGCGTCACTGGGCCGCTCGACGGCTGCGTCGCTTGCGGGATGAAGCCCCGCAAGGAGTGCCCCCGCCTCGGGTTCTGCCTTGACTTCGCGCTCGGGACTTCGGATGCTCGACATCGAGGATGACGAGGCGCAGGAGGTCAACTTCGTGGAGGAGGACATGCGAAGATGCGACCCCCCCAAGACGGGAGCGAAGCCGCTGCTAGCCGCCGGTGAGCGGTCGGACATCGCTGCTGGCAAAAGCGGCATCCTGCCGCGTGCGGTCAGCCAGATGGCCAGGACCGACTTGGCCAAGCCAGCCACGAGCAGTGGCCCCGTCTCGGGCGCCAGCGCAACCGCCCCGCACGATTGGCGGTGCAACGCGAACAGCAGTCTCAGCGAGAAGCGGATAAATAATGGTGGAGCCGCTGTTCTATGTGGACTTCCAGGCCATGACCTTTCTCGCCATCACGCGGTCAACAAGTTCGAGGGGGGAGATGCGGAAGGATCTACTCAAGAGACGCATCGAGTGCACGCGGCGTTTCCGCGCGCGGCCTGGACCGCCCTGCTGCGTTTGATCGTCGAAGTCGACCCCGCTAAGGCGTCGCATTTCGACGTGGATAGGAGCCGCTCAGCGCAGATGATCGACATTTCCCTGAAGTCCATGAGCCGCCTTCGGCGGGAGTTAGGCAACCAGCTCGGGGCCCCTTCGAGCGGCCGCGCTTCTGCGACGGTCGGGGCCTAGAGAACAACTGCGCCGCAAAGAACCGGATGGGGCAGCCCCCGCGCATCATCGACTTCGACGGGCGCGCCATCGAAGCGGGGGCGAAGCAGGGGGCCCGATCAAGAGGCCGCGGGGGGTCATTGCCGACCGCTGCGGGTTTGATGATTCGCCGCGCATGTGTTGCAGCGGCTTGCATGAGCACGTCGGAGCCCGCGGCCAGCGCGCGAAGGACAGTGAGTATTGCGCGAATGAGTTAGGCACAGCGCTGGCCAAGCACCTTCGCGAAGCGAGCCTAGCAAGAAGGAGCGCCCGCGCCGGCGGCCCCAGCCGAGCCAGCTATGACGGCGGCGGAGGGGCGGGCGTTCAAGTCCGCCACCATGCAGCCCCACGTCAGCACGGGGCACCCTGCCAATGATTTGCTGGCTCGGGCGTTTCGCGACACAGGAGGGTCTTAAAGAGCGGTTGAGACGGCGCTCGGCCTACGCTGCGCAGCGCGCGCCGCCCGTCGGCGACCCCCGCCGCGCCTGCCAGGGGGGGTCAAGCTGGACAGGGATTTCAACGACTCGATTGGAGTGGACCTGTTCACTCTTGCCGACTACGTTCGCAACCAGCATGTCTGCGTGAACGTGGTCGACCTCGCTTCTGGTTTACATCGTGTGGCACAGCTGCCTCGCGACATCCCTCTGTCTTGTTTGCGAGGCTTCCGCAAACGTGGATTTCGTCGTTTGGGTCGCCACAACAGGTGACATTTGAAGGGGGAGCTTAGTTCGAGAGGGGGTTCTCGGAGGAGCTCGAGGACATGGGCCGCCGCCTCGCGACCACCGCTGCGGCCGCGCCGCAGCGGCGCACCACCGTGGAGAGGTCCCAGGGCACGTGAGAAGTTCACGCGAGGAATCTGATCGACCACTTCAGCATCAGGTTCGACCAGCCCGACAACGCCCACGAAATCCAGCGGTTGATCGCTGCCGTCTGCTGGGGCATGAACAGCTCTGTCAATGCCCCAGGATACTCCCCATCCCAATGGGCACCTGGACGGCGGCCCCCACTGCCGCGCCGCCTGCCGGGCAATGCGGGAAGGCACTCGCTGCGCGAGCGCATCGTGTCCGGCGAGCCCTTCTCCGGGGGGATCGCCGCCAGGAAGGCCGTGCAGATTATCCCGGCAGTTGCGGTTCAACCAGCCCATTCCACGGGCATTACTTGCAGACGGAGATGTCTACCAGACAGGAGACCGGGTGCACCTCTGATGGCCGAGCGGCAAGCCCAAGCGTGAGTGGGCATTGCAGCGGCATGCGCCCGGCGTCATCATCTGGTTTCGAAGGCATTTCGAACGCATGCGTCAGCCACCGCTCCATTGATGCAGGGGTGTAACCATGGGCGCTGACGGCTCGCCGCCGCATCGAGCAACCACCCCGGCGAATCACCTGCGCCAGACCCTGGGGGATGAGGAGGCGGCGGGCCGCCACTTGGCGGAGGCGGCACAGGAACGCCGCCGCCCGCCGCCAGTCCCTGGCGGAGAGATACCGACGACGCGCCCATGGACC